GGTGTCGCGGCACGTGGGGGTGGAGCAGATCGACATCGTTGAGATCGACGGCATGGTCATTGATGTGAGTTGAGATCGACGGCTGAGATCGACGGCGTGGTCATTGATGTGAGTTGAGATCGACGGCTGAGATCGACGGCATGGTCATTGATGTGAGTTGAGATCGACGGCTGAGATCGGCGGCATGGTCATTGATGTGAGTTGAGCTCGACGGTTGAGATCGACGGCATGGTCATTGATGTGAGTTGAGATCGACGGCTGAGATCGACGACATGGTCATTGATGTGAGTTGAGATTGACGGCTGAGATCGACGGCATGGTCATTGATGTGAGTTGAGATCGACGGCTGAGATCGACGGCATGGTCATTGATGTGAGTTGAGATTGACGGCTGGGATCGGCGGCATGGTCATTGATGTGAGTTGAGATCGACGGTTGAGATCGACGGCATGGTTATTGATGTGAGTCAGAGCACACGGGCATCGACGTGAGTTGATCTACTGAGTGATTCTTCTGCCCTCACCCTCTCATGCCAGCACGTGGCAACCCCTAATGCTCCTTGTCTTGCGCTCATCACCTGGAGCCTTTTCCTGGGGACCTATTTGAGATGTCTTGATTGGGACTCGGAACTGTGTCTTGAGAGCCAGAGAGACTGTCTGTCATCGGCTCCACGCATGGGCAGGGCAGCTGATGATCTTCCAAATAACTATGCATGCAGGATCAACCGCCTGACTCCCGCTGATGATCACACCCGATCTGATGCCCGTGCTCCATACCCTGTGCCCGCATTCTCCGCTTTATTGCCCATGCCCTCTCTCATGCACAATTCCTCCGCGCCATTCTTTACAACTCCTTACTGTGTCCCTGTAAAACGGAGGAAATATGGATATTCATGGGCAGCTGATGATTAGAACTATGCATGCAGGATCAACCGCCTGACTCCAGCTGATGATCACACCTCGTCTGATGCCCATGCTCGCTCTCCTAAGTTCCATTTCCCACGTGTTCCATTCCCTAGGCTCGCTTTCACCTGAACTGTCTGTCCTTGTTTGCACCGCATTGCGTTGTAAGCCTATCCAGCAGAGGGGTTGCTTCTGGTCATGGGCAGCTGATGATTTTACGAATAACTATGCATGCAGGATCAACCACCTGATTCCAGCGGATGATAATACCTTGTCTGATGCCCGTGAAAACATTCCCTGTGCTCACTTGCTCTCTGCTCCTTTCCCCTTATTCCATGCGCATGCTCTGTGCACAATGCTCTGTGCTGCATTGTTGTTGTGCCTCTTTGCTTTGTAATCTTGTTGATTGTTGTAACTATTTTCTTACCATGGGCAGCTGATGATTGTACAAATAACTATGCATGCAGGATCAACCGCCTGATTCAACCTGATGATTTCACTCGACCTGATGCCCATGCTCCCTGGTCAATGCCTCGTGCCATGATCCATCATCCTACTTCTACTGCACGTCACTCACATGCCCCCCCCCCCCCACACGCCGTCTCTACTCATCCCCCTCTCATCCCCAGCCTCTCCCCCAATTCCACTCTCATCACCCATTGGCCGTCTGCCCTGCCTCTCTAACCCCTGGTGTTCTCACCACTGCCCATTGTCTCCCACGATTGCCCCTGTGCTGCGTGCCCCCGTGCGCCCCGCTGTGCGTGCCCCAGGTGTCCAAGGAGCACTTCCCCGCGGTGGCCATTGGCTACAAGGACCCGCGCGTCAATGTCACTGTGGGCGACGGTGAGTGCTCGTGGTGACGGCTGTGTGCTTGCATGCATGCTGCAACAGTGTGCGTGTGCGTATGTGTGTGGGCATGCTGTGAAGAAACTAGGTACCATGGCATGGCACGGTATGCTCAGTACGGCCAGTGGGTACAAGGAAGTACCCGCGCGTCAACGTCACTGGGGGTGCTGTGAGTGAGCCTCCATCACACCTGCATGCATGCTGCAGCATTGTGCCGAGTGTGAGCATTGTGCAGGGCATTGGTGTCCACGTTGTGTGTGTGTGTGTGTGTGTGTGTGTGTGTATGTGTGTGTGTGTGTGTGTGTGTGTGTGGGTGTGGATGTCTGTGTGTCAGTGCGCATCAATGTGAGCATCAGTGTGTATATTTCATCTCCTCTCGACACAGTTCGCCTCGTCGCCCACCCACACATCGAATCAACCCTATCTCATCTCACCCTCGCTTGCTACCACACGTCTCATCCGCAACCCCTAATGCTCCCTTTGCCTCCCTCGCCCGTGGTCACCATTTCTCCCCCACACACGTCCACAATATCCTGTCCATCCAATGAATTCCCCACTCTCATGTCCCTTTCCCCTCTCCCCACCCTCCCTCCACCGCGTGTGCAACCCAGGAGTGGCGTTCCTCAAGGCGGTGCCAGAGGGCACGTACGACGCCATCATCGTCGACTCCTCCGATCCCATCGGTACGCCACTGCACCGCCCTGCTCCTGCTCTCACACTCTTCACTCCTCTGGGTGTATTTCGACTCGTTCTCGGTCGACTCAAAACACCATGCCGATCCACAGTCCGAAATTTCTAAACGCTCCTATCCCCTCCTCCCCCAACCCCCCTCCCCGTCCCGTCTCCCCTGAATCAATCCCACAGGACCCGCACAGCAGCTGTTTGGGCTGCCCTTCTTTGAGTCGATGGCACCAGACAAGTTTTCCTCAAACGCTACCCCCCTTCTCCACCCCTTATTCCCCCCTTCCCCCTGTCCCCCCCCTTTCAACCAATCCCACAGGGCCCGCGCAGCAGCTGTTCGAGCGGCCCTTCTTCGAGTCGATGGCGCGCGCGCTGCGACCGGGCGGCGTGGTGTGCACGCAGGCGGAGTCGCTGTGGCTGCATCTGCCCATCATCAAGGACATTGCCCTCGCCTGCCACCACGCCTTCAAGGGCTCCGTCAACTACGCCTGGACCAGCGTCCCCACCTACCCCAGGTCTGATGCGCTTGTATGCTTAGTGCTTCTTGCTTGGGTGGCTGTGGTTGGGATGGCCGGTTTGAAACTTGGGGATGGGGAGGGGTTGTTGTTAGATGAGGGTTCCACTTGACCTGCATGTTTTTCACCTATTAATTTATTTTCATTTGTTTTCATTTGTCTTTACTGAGTTGGTCCTTCTGTTCATGCGTTCTGGTTGCATGCAGTGGCACAATCGGCTTCATGGTGTGCTCGACCCCGGGGCCAGAGGTGAACTTCAAGGTGCCATGCAACAAGATTGAGGACCAGCCTGAACGACCTGACAACCTGCCCAAGTTGCCGCCTCTAAAGTACTACAACTCTCAAGTAAGTGCTCTTGTTATGGAATACAACCTGTGCTTGGTTTTCTTGCTCTGTTGCTTTAGGTCCATCTGCACACTACCAATATCATGAAGCTATTAGGGACATGATTGATATTGTTTCCTCATCCTATTCTTGCAGGTCCATTCTGCTGCCTTCGTTCTCCCGCAGTTCGCCAAGGAGGCTCTTGAGCCCCACCTCACTAAGTAATGCTAGAAAGACACTCCAAATAAATATTAGTTGTGAAATGTTTCAGAATGACTGTTGAATAAAAATTGTTGAAGTATACTAGGCTAACCACATTTCCAGCAGAGTATGTAGCCTTTCATGGCTCAAGCGAGTATCAACTGTCCGTCTTCGTTTGCGTCTCGTCTTCGTCTTCATCGTGTTCTTCGACGGACAGCCTTGTTGATCCTCAGTCAATCCGACTGACTGATGGCAACGCGCAAAAAAATCTACAAGCAGGACCCACCAACAAAGGACGACCACATGCACCGCATTCCACCGTGGCATCAATGCCTCGGGAGCTCCGAGCGCGTTGCAAAAGTGACGGAGGGAGGGAGAGGAGGCGCGCCAGTTCTGCCTGCGAAAAGGCTAACTGAAAACAGAACCAGAGAACGCGAGGCCAACAGAAAGCTTCATTCACAAACGAAACCGGAAAAGCAGTTAGTTGCAGGCTAAAGCAGCACGGAGCTGCGCCAGCGCGCGGCAGCCAGCAGCAAGAGTATCTTACCCCACACCCAAATCCCCGCCAGAATTCTCGCAGGCATTCTGCTCCAACGAATCTCCAACCCTCGTAGTTTGTGAGAGGTAGATATCTAAGCACAACCTCGCTTCAACCCTTCAGATTTAACTCTCTATTTCCGTGTCCTTCACCATGGTTGTGTTTTGAACAAGATATGGAAAATGGAGCGACAGACGGTTCAGACGACGACCCCTCACGGCACGTACATGCCTACAGTAGCGCGCAGCAACAGCAACAGCGAGGAGCGTCGTTCAAAGCTGCTGCTCTCGACGGTCCCTCCACGCTCGCGTCTTTTCCCGCCGTCGTCGGCGCGACATCCGTCTCCGGTGCGTCGTCAGAGTGGCGTAACGCGCATCACAAGCCGTCGTTTGAGTCCGCGAGAAAATAAGGCTTTAACTGGAATGGGGCTGCTTGGTCTTGCGCTGCTCTAGTGAGTCCACTCCAGTGACGTGGCGCGGCCTCGCCAGTGCAGCGTTCTCCGCAGCACTGGACTCGTTACCTTACGTCTTGTCGTCGTGTCCGCGTCTGAGTCGTTCCGTCGACCCTGTTAGGGTGGGACGATGCTCCCTTCTCATCGTTTCGCCGTGTTGTCGTCGCGTCGGCCGACCCTCAATACCGCCGCGCCTGGAATTCAAGAAAACTTCACGAAGCCTGTCGAGGTGTCGAGACGCGCTGCACGCACCTTAGCAAGCGACGTGCTGAGGAGAAATGCTAATCGCGGCATGTCGACAGAAGGGATCTCTTCGCGCGCCAATGCATGCGTGACATTCTCTAAAAGCTGCTCCAATGCGCTCACAATCACGTAACTCGCTCAGCCATGAGCCACAATGCCGTGGTTACGTGGTAACCCTCGTTTAGCCATGTGTCAGCGAGTCCGCGAGTGAGGCAGGCGCGATTGCTGTCTCGGATCCGCGCTGTCCTTCCCTGCTGCTGCTGCAGGATTGTTAGTAGGCGTTTGATCTGCGCTTCGCCAATGCTAACCATCTGGATCTGCGGGTTTCCTGCTGTTATTCGATGCTGTTCCGCATTCATGCGATCTCTCTTCCCTCGTGTCGTCCAGCTCCTCGTTCTCTCTTCTTTCGGCACCTGCTCTTTTTTCCTTTCCCCCTGCTCTCGTTTCCTTCCCCCCTGCTCTCTTTTCCTTCCCCCCTGCTCTCTTTTCCTTCCCCCCTGCTCTTTTTTCCTTCCCCCCTGCTCTCTTTTCCTTCCCCCCTGCTCTCTTTTCCTTCCCCCCTGCTCTCTTTTCCTTCCCCCCTGCTCTCTTTTCCTTCCCCCCTGCTCTCTTTTCCTTCCCCCCTGCTCTCTTTTCCTTCCCCCCTGCTCTCTTTTCCTTCCCCCCTGCTCTCTTTTCCTTTCCCCCTGCTCTCTTTTCCTTCCCCCCTGCTCTCTTTTCCTTCCCCCCTGCTCTCTTTTCCTTCCCCCCTGCTCTCTTTTCCTTCCCCCCTGCTCTCCTTTCCTTCCCCCCTGCTCTCTTTTCCTTCCCCCCTGCTCTCTTTTCCTTCCCCCCTGCTCTCCTTTCCTTCCCCCCTGCTCTCTTTTCCTTCTCCCCTGCTCTCTTTTCCTTCCCCCCTGCTCTCTTTTCCTTCCCCCCTGCTCTCTTTTCCTTCCCCCCTGCTCTCTTTTCCTTCCCCCCTGCTCTCTTTTCCTTCTCCCCTGCTCTCATCTCCTGCCTGACTCGTGTGCGCAGTCCACGTAAGGGAGAGCACCTTTCTCGTCACCTTTCTCTCGCCTCTCGTCTCGGTTCTCTCTCTTCTCGTCGCCTGTCTCTTGTGCGCAGGCGCAGTAAGTGAGGGCACCTTCCACACGCACACGCAGGAGCTGTCGCCCTTTGCTCTCCAACAGCTGCAGCAACAGCTGTACCAGCAGCAGCACGATCAGCAGCAGCAGCAGCTGCAGTTGCAGTTGCAGCAGCAACGACATCAACAGCAACAGCAGCAGCAACATGAGCAGCGAGTGCAGGCACAGGATCCGGTCGCATCACAAGCAGATGGTTTCAGATCAGCACGGCCACCCAATGTAGGCTCTGTAGGCCTCTCCTCACCACAAGCCAGGGCGGAGGGGGAACGCCGGGTGGTAAATTCTCTGGGGGGAGAGTGTGTGGGCGCGGGAGTGGATCCAGCACCTGCATCGGTTGCTCAGGGCGGGTCGTCCCCACCCACACCACCACCACCGGGCATCGCGGCACCAGCTCCTGCTGCTCCTGCTCTCACCGCCTCTCTTGCCAACACGCCCCCTGCAACTCCTCCTGCTGCTGTGGCGGCCGGAGGAGCAGCTGCTGCTGCTGCTGGGGTTGGCAATGGTGAATGGGGAGTGCCGCCCACCTCCGGTGCGCATCAGCATATGGTAGCACAAGGAACAGTGCAGCAAGGTGCAGTGCTGCACCAAGCGGTGCAGAACGGTTCCCCTCGAAATCCTTCTTGTAGCGAGCCGTCTTTTGCTGCAGATCCTTCCTCTGTGTCGCTTGCTGCTGCTCCGTCTGCCACCTGTGTTTCTCCCCCACCGGATTCCGTTGTTGCGTCTGCTCTGTATGCCACTCAGCTGACTGGTCTGCCTGCCACTTGCTCACCTGTTTCAAGCCCTGCTGCAAAACCTGCTACGTGTCCTGTTACAAGTCCAGTATCAAATCCTGTTACAAGCCCCGTTTCAAATCGTGTTTCAAGCCCCGTTTCAAATCCTGTTACAAGCCCCGTAAATCCTGCAACGAAGCTAGTCACAAGTAGGGTCGTGCCAGGTCATGTGGGGGCAGCAAGCACGGGCCAGCAGCAGGGCGCACTGATCGGGGGTGCTGCCTCCGCCCAGCTCATGGCCTCTCTCACTGCAGCACCAGTGGTGGGACCAGGAGCTGTGGCGAGTACAGGAACAAAATTGTCGCCAGCGAGAGCAGTAGGCGCGGGGGCAGCCGGCAGCAGCGCGCAGCACCCTGCAGTTGCAGCAGTAGGCGCAGGAGGAGGGGGAGGCGGAGGAGGTGCAGCGGAGAGTGCGTCACAGTTGTCAGAAGCACTTGCGGCCGCAGCAGCAGGGGGTGGCGCGGGGACAGGGGAAGCAGCGGGGGCGCAGCTGTCAGCAGCGCTGGCAGCAGCGGGGGGCAGCAATGCGCAGCTGTCGGCTGCACTGGTGGGCCTCACGGGGACTGGCAGAGGCGCCGCCTCCAATGAACCCCGACTCAGGGACGTGCTCAGTGACCCCCTCACGTGAGTGCTCACTGCTGCTGTTGCATGTGAGTGCAGTGACCCCCTCACGTGAGTGCAGCGACCCACTCATGCGAATGCTCAGTCCTACTGTTGCATGTGAGTGCACGAGGGGCACAGTGTGACTCCGTTACTCTGTTATGTCGCGCAGAGTGCTTGAAATGAAGCGTTTTCCGGTTTCGCCAGCACACATACCTTTATGGCTTCTGAACGGTCCATGTGTCTTTGTTGGGCGTTGGTGACTGTCTGCTGCGTTTACCTTGCTTTTCAAAGGTTGCAGCTTGGAAGTTGCATACAAGCTGCCTGTATCTGATGGCACCAATTGTCGGACCTGTCTTTGTGTGGCATGTGTGTGTGTGCGCGTGCGTGTGTGTGTGTGTGTGTGTGTGTGTGTGTGCGTGTGTGTGTGTGTGTGTGTGTTCGTGTGTGTGTGTGCGTATGTGTGTGTGCATCCGTGTGTATCCGCATGTGCACACAGGGGTCGATTGCTTGATGACGCCGTGGTGGGGTGCTGCGGCCATTCCTTCGGAGGGGCAACGCTGGCCGTTGTGCGCGAATCAGTGAGCACCGACCCCCCTTCCACCTCCACCTTCCAATTTCTCACTCCACTCCGCTCCACAATCATTTTCCAACCACACTGCACCCACTCGCATGTGTGCCATGCCTCAGGCGTTGCTGCATCTCAAAAACCAGCTCGTCTTCCCGTTGGACCGTTCACGTGGCTCCTCTCCTCGCCACCACCTCCTCACGTTCCACCCTCCGCCTGCCATCACGGATTCTCTGCGTCATCACACCTCTTGCTGCCTTTCGTCCCCAAACTGCTCCTGCCTTCTTGCCTATGATCCCCTACTCCCCCTCGTGACTTGTCCTCCCCAGAGCACGTGTCCCGAGTGTGGCGCACACATAGACGCCGCCACGCTCACCCCCAACCTCACCCTGCGTGCCGCCGTTGCCGCCTTCCGCCGCGAGTCCAGCTCCCTCGCTGCCGCCGCCATGGCTGCTGCCGCTGCCGCTGCCGCCCAGGTGAGTTGCCTGGTGAAGTGAGATAAGTGGTTTTGTTGTGAGGCATGTCCACAACGCCAGTGTGGCATGGCAGTGAGCTTGCTCCCTCACAGTTCCATCTGCTCTCTCTCACGCCTCCCTGCTTTCCCCCACTGTTCCTCCTCCCCTCTTCTGCCCCGCCAATTCAACCCGTCCCCCAGCTATCCGCGGACACGCCCACCCACGCGCACCACCACGCGTCCTCAGCCTCACAGCACTCCCCTTCACTCTCCTTCGCTGTCGCCGCTGCCGCCGCCGCAGCCACAGCAGCCGGCTCTCCACCAGCAGTGCCCATGGGGGGCCGAGGAGGGGCATCCCTCCTCGCCTCCTTCGCCGCTTCCGCCTCTCCCACTGCCTCCAAGCCCGCTGCCCTGCTCCAAACCCTCCCTGGTCCGGCCCGAACCAGCTACGCTGCGCCAGGCTCGGTCACCGCCGCCAGCCTCCGAGCCTCAGCCGAGGCTCCCCAGCCGGGCACACAGCAGCCCGCCCATCCTGCACCTGTCCGGCCGGTCCGGTCGACCAGCACGGCCCAGTTCCCATTCCGAGTGAACGACGTGGTGCTGATAAAGGGCAACAAGCGCACACCGGAGCACTTCATCGGGCGCAAGGCCATCATCACGACGCAGTGCCTCAACGGGTGGTACATGGTGCGCACTCTCGATGGCGCTGCTGACGAGGTGCGCCTGCAGTACCGGTCCCTGGAGAAGATCCATGCTGCTGCCGCTGCTGGGGGAGGAGGGGCAGGGGGGAGTGGAGGGAATGGAGGAGCGGATGGGGTTGGTGCTGGTGGGGTTGCGGGGGGGGGGAGTGTGGTGACAGGTGGGGGAGGAGGAGGGAGTGGGGGCGGGGGGAGAGGAGGGGTGGGTGGAGGCGAGGGGGAGAGTCATCGGCTGCTGCCGCCAGCTGGGGTGCCCAAGGGGCGAGGGGGAGGGCATGGTGGAGCGCGCAGGGAGACCAAATCCAGTGAGTGCTGCTCTGCTCTGCTCTGCTCTGCTCTGTGTGCATCGGAGGTTTCGCTAGTCTGGGGCGGCTGATGTGGCTGAGTGTGGCCATGCTTGCGAAACTTGCTGAATCCTTCTGCACCGCACCTAGCCCTGGCTGTAGCAGCTTCCTTGGTGAAATCTTTGTCACCACGTACCTCATTTGCTTAACCGTGCTGCTCGCTTCATACAAGTATACCTGCCCCCACACCCCTGCCTCCCCCCTGCCTCTATCGAACCCCACCTTCCCCCTTTTCTCAAACCCATCCACCTGTTTTAAAGAACCTTTCATCCCACTCCCACAACACCCCCCCCCCGGTCCCCTACCTACCCACCTCTTTCCGCCACGCCCCTTCCAACTCTCCTCTTCCTCCCGCCCTGTCTGTGTCCCTGCCTGCCAACTCTCCACCTGGTCGCCCCCTTCTCGCGGCAGTGGGGCGGGGCAGGGGAGGCCGGGGGGCGGGGAGGGCGGCAACGAGTGCATCGCCCATCAGCACGCCAGCGTCACTCTGCGGCAGTCTCTCCACGCCCAACGCGTCCCTCTGGACCGGTGCGTCGCTCCCCCACCCCTCCCCCCTGCCCTGCCCTGCCTCGCACCTCCTGTCTTGCTCCCCTCTCTTCCTCGCTCCTCTATGCCCGCCTCTGCGGCAGCCTCTCCATGCCCAGCGCCTCCTTCTGGACCAGTGCGTCGCTCTCCTCCTCCACTCGTCCCCCTGCCTGTGTTGCTCCCCCTCTTCTGCCTCTTCCTCTTGCCTGTCTACCTCGTGCCTCCTGTTCTCCCCCTACTCTCTCCCCTCCCCAACCCCCCGGCTACTCCTGTGTTGCTCGCTCTGCTCTGCCCCGTGCCTGGGTTCTTCTCTTCGTGATTCTCTCTGACATTTGGCCACGCAGTCCCTCCTCATCAGTCTTGCAATCCCATGCCTTGTGAACTGATGATCGTCTTCCCTACACACGCCAACTCAACCAGCACTCTCCCTCACTAACATTTCGAATGGGCTAAAAGCTTGAAGTTCTCTTTCCCCCCAAGCTTCCTCAACGTTCCTCATGCCGCCCTCCTCCTGCACATCTCAACTTCTCCTCTCCCACACTGCCCCATCCCTCAGGTTCGGTGGCAGGTTCGGCAGCAGCATCGGATGCAGCAGGGGGAGCATCACGGTCAGTGTCAGTGTCGGGGGACTTTGGCATGTGCAGCGGGCCGGCAGGGGAGGTGGAGCAGGGCGCCATGTCCACCACTCCCAGAAGCGGCACCTCCCATGTCACCCGCATGTCCCATGCCGCCCCCATGCCCCACATGCCTCATGTGCCCCACATGCATGGTCCTGGTGGTGCTATGGTTGTGAATACACCGCACACTAGCATGTCAACGCCCCATCACGCCATGCCGTCTGCCCACCACAGCTCATCAACGGCTCCACAGAGCACGGTGGTTTATCCGACGGCCAGCAGCGCGCCCACCACGCCGGCATCCATTGGTCATGCTGCCATGCCCGTGCCTGCTAGCCCAGGTTCGGCCGTGCCTGCCAGTCCAGGTCCGGCCGTAGCAGCAAGCCCAGGCTCGGTGGGGCGAGTGCAGCGAGGGCTGGGTGTGCAGGCGAGCCCAGGCTCGGCAACTTTCCGGCCCTTGTTCCAGACAGGCCGGGGGTATGCGGCGGAGAGAACCGATCCTGGAGGAGGTTCGGTAGCGGCAGGGGCGGCAGGAGTAGCAGGAGGCAGAGGTGAGGGGTCCGGTGTAATGGGCGAGGGGACAGGTCTTACGGGCTCAGCTCAGGCACCGGGATTCGGTGCGCCGAAGGCGGTGAGCTCATCAGCGGTCGAATCTTTGACAGTGGGCGCAGCGGCAGGTGGTGGTGTGGCAGCAGGGACGGGGGGGGAAGCAGGGCAGGGGCATTCCCTAGCAATGGGCGGTCAGAGGCCAACTGAAGGGGTTCTGAGGAGTGAAGTGTATGGGCAGCAAGTGGGTGTGCAGACTACAGGGCAGTGTATGGTGCAGCAGCCCCTAGGTCAGCACGGTCAATTGGGGCAGCAGGGACAGATGGGTCAACAGGGTCAAGTGGGTCAACAGGGTCAAATGGGTCAACAGGGTCAAATGGGTCAACAGGGTCAGATGGGTCAACAGGGTCAGATGGGTCAACAGGGTCAGATGGGTCAACAGGGTCAGATGGGTCAAATGTCTCAGCATATCCTTCAAGAGCAGAGCCAACCATTCAATCAACCCGGTCAACCAAGTCAACGAGGCCAAGCGAGTCAAGGCTATGTGCCGCCAGGTCAGCAGCAGTGGAGCGCCGCACAGGGGGCAGGACTGCGGCAAGGAGGAGCAGAGACGGCGCAGGTGTGGCAGGCAGCAGTGCAGGGGCAGGGGGGCACTGCCGTGCAAGGGGCAGGGGGCGTGATGCAGATGCAGAATCCGATGAGCGTGGGTGCAGGGCCAGGTGGTGCGGTGGTTAGTCAGGCAGGGATGCTGCCCAACCAGGGCGGCATGGCAGAGAGTGAGGGGCGTGTGATGGCAGGGCAGGGGGGAGCAGCGCAGCAGGCGATGGGGAGGCAGCAGCAGCAAAGCTGCGCGCCAGGTGGCTTTCTCCCTGCTGCCGTTGACATGCTGCCTGCAGCTCCCAGCTATGTAAGCTGCCATGCTATGAGCTGCCATGCTATGAGCTACCATGCTGTGAGCTGCCATGCTATGAGCTGCCATGCTATGAGCTGCCATGCTATGAGCTGCCATGCGGTGAGTGCTGTGAGCCCAGCCCAGCTGCTCTTTCTCCAGCTTCTTTGGCTCCTCTCCCACGTGCTGCTCTCTCCCACGTGCTGCTCTGTCCCACGTGCTGCTCTCTCCCACGTGCTGCTCTCTCCCACGTGCTGCTCTCTCCCACGTGCTGCTCTCTCCCACGTGCTGCTCTCTCCCACGTGCTGCTCTCTCCCACGTGCTGCTTTCTTAACGTGCTGCCCTCTGCCTCCTGCTACTCTTTCTCACCCTATTCTTTCACTCCCTTGCTTCGTCTCCCCTCATTTACCTCTTCGCTCCTCATCTTTTATGCCTTGTCTTGCTAATCTGCCCTCTCCCCACCCCTCTCCCCACCCCTCGCCCCATCCCACTCCTTGCTTTCGGACGTCCCCCTGCAGGGCGCTGGGTTCACAAGCAGCAGCGGAGCACACCTCCTTCCTTTGCCCGCCACACAGAGCCTTGCCGCCCAGCAGATCATGGCAGCCACGCAGCAGCAGCAGCAGCAAAGTGTCATGTCTTCTCAGCACAATCTGTTGCAACAGCATCAGCAGCAGCAGCAGCAGCAGCAGCAGCAACAACAACAGCAACAGCAAGGTGTGTTTGGCAGCGAGCATATGCTGGAGGCGCAGCAGCAGCGGCAGCGGGTGCAGTGGCGGGCGGCAGCAGAGGCGGAGGTGGAGAGGAGCTCTGGGGTGCGCCGTGCCCTCCACTCCTCCTGCACTCCAGCAGCCCATGACTCACAGGGGCAGGGGCAGGTTCAAGGGCAGGTTCAGGGGTAGGTTCAGGGGCAGGTTCAGGGGCAGGTTCAGGGGCAGGTTCAGGGGCAGGCTGAGCGGGAAGCACAGGCGCAAGCACAGGGGCAGCAGGAAGTGATTTAGGTGCGGTCTCAGGTGGTGAGCCCTCCGCCTGGTGTAGTGAGTTCCCCAGGCGGCATGGTGATGGGAGTGGAGGGTGCGTTCGTGGACGCTGTGAGCCCACCGTTTGGGCTTGTGAAGCGCGAGGAGCAGCAGCTGGAAGGATTCTCCCTGGGGCAGCAGCAACTAACGCAACAGCAAGCGCACCAGCAACAACAAATAGAGCAGCTCCAGCAGCAGCCACAGCAACAACAACAATTTGCAGTACAGGATTTCAAGCAGCCGTCCATGTATGCACCTAATGCTCCAAGCAAGGAAGAGAGGTGCGGCATTAACAGCAACCAGCGCCCAGACACTGTCGTCTGCTTTGACTCCCAGACCGGCACAGACAACAACAACAAGAGGTCGGGAAACGGCTGTGCCCCCCCTACAGTAGCAGCACCGGTATCACCGCCACAGGCACCACAGGCATCGTCGGAAGCAGCAACGAGCCTTCTTCCCTCCCATGCGAGCAGGTTGCAATCTCAGATGCAGCAGCAGCAGCAGCAGCAGCAGCAGCAGCAGCAGCAGGAGATGCAATCTGCTTTGCAGGGGACGGAGAGGGTGACTACAACGAAGCCTTTAACTGTGACTATGGTGAGATCGGGCTGGAGGATTTGTCACGTGGGGGGGGCGAGCTTGACAGCGGCGGCCTGGACTGGTTCGACCAGTTCTGAGAACCAAGGGACGAGCGCTGGGCTGCCGGCTGCAGCCGTGCTGCATGCATGCCCGTTCAATGTGATGGCAGGTGGTGCCTCCAAGGATATGCAGCTTCTTGATCATTCTCAAAGATCGCTCACAAACACTGCAGCCATACTGTCCTCATGCCCATTGGATGTGGCAGGAGGCGCTGCTGTAGACGACAAGCAGCTTGGGCTTCTGGGAGTGAGGCCAGTGAATGAAAGCCAGCAGTGCAACCGTTGCAGCATGCCACGTGGCAGCATGCCACTGGATGAAGCATGGGCGGCTGCCTCTATTGGATCAGTTAGAGAGGGAGCAGCATCAGCATCAGTGCCTGCAGCAGTGGCAGCAGTAGTAGCAGCAGCACCAGCAATAGCCGTAGCAGCAGCAGGGTGTGTGCTGGGACAGCAATTCTCAGGTCGTCGGGTACCCTCCTCCACAGCCAGAGCGCTTTTCACAGACTCGCCTTCCTCCCCGCGTGCCACCTGCAGTCCCCCCTCACCACCCCCTGCCACATGCCTTGCCCGTCCCAATCGGGCCACCGTTGCTGCCAGTGGTGCTCTTGGTACCGCCACTGCCACCGTTGCTGTTGCCAGTGTTGCGTCTGTCGACATTGCAACTGCCAGCATTGCAAGCGCCATGGGAGCTGCTTCTGGAGCTGGTGCAGGGCCTTGGGTGCACGCCAGTGCCCGAGATGCTGCTTGTGCTGCTGCTGGCAGGCATGCCGTGACAGGAGCAAGTGTCATGGAGAATGGTGGTGATGCTGATACGTACGCCAATGCAGTCGATGGTGATGCTCCTCCTGACGCTGCTCTTCATACGGCTCCCGATGTGCATGCTGCGAGTCTCAAGACACACTCTCCGTCTGACCCTCTGGTGAGTGTGATAGCAGATGAGGCGGGAGCAGGTGTAATGGAAGAGAGGGACGAGAGGGGAGAAAAAGAAGTGGCAGGGGCAGCTGCAATGGGAAAGGGGAAAGAGGGGGGAGGAGGAAGTGGGAGGGGAAAGAGAAGACGGAGAAGAGGAAGTGGGAGGGGAAGGGGAAGACGGAGGAGAAGAGGAAGTGGGAGGGGAAGGGGAAGAGGGGGGGAAACGGGGCAGGCAGGAGAAACAGGGGGCGCAGGAAGGGGGATCTGATGCGGGCGAGGGGGATGGGGGAAGGGGAGAGGAGAGACGCGGAGGTAATGATAATGGGGGGAGCGGCGAGGAGGGCGAGGGGGGCAGTGAGTGGGGCGGAGGAGGTGGAGGGGGGGGAAACGAGGATGGGGAGAAGGGAGGAGATAACTGGGGAGATGGTGATAGGGGAGATGAGGGAGAGGATGATGAGGGAGAGGATGATGAGGGAGAGGAGAAAGACGAAGAAGGGGAGGAGGAAGCAGAAGGGGAAGAGGAAGGGGAAGAGGAAGAGGAAGAAGCAGGAAGAGAGGAGGAGGGTGGGTCCGATTGTGCAGCAGTGGTGGGGCCTGGGGCAGAGAGGAGCGGGACAGCAGCAGCAGGGGAGTGCAGTGGGGGAGGGGAGGCCAACGTGAGGCGGCTTGAAGCTGCCTCTATCAGCCATGCGGGTCGTGTGAGCTCAACCCTCAGTTCCAACACACAGGCTGTGGCTGTGTCATCACGGGGACCGGTGCCATCACAGGGGGCGGTGCCATCACAGGGGGCGGTGCCATCACAGGGGGCGGTGCCATCACAGGGGGCGGTGCCATCACAGGGGGCGGTGCCATCACAGGGGGCGATGATGCTGGTATCAGGGGCGACCGCATGGCAGCGCAGCAAGGCAGGGGAGGTCAAGGACAGCACCACCACTGCCTCCTCCTCCCCCAAAGTGAGTCATCCCACCAATGTGTGCTGCTTGCAAATTGCTGCACCCCCTGCCCTCGTTCTCCCACCCCCTTGGTTAGGTTCGTTGGCCATCAATCGCAACTGGTTCTCCAGTCATCCCTGGGTTCGTCATGCCAATATTACCCGCTCTCTTACTGTGCCAAAATTTGCCCTGTGAATCAACCCTGAAGTGAATTCGTGTACTTTCTCAACCCAACCAACCCCTGCCTGCACCACCGCCATCTGCCCAGATGACGGCTCTGGACCTTCTGAGGAGGAAGAGCCCTGCGCCCCCATCCATCTTCCGCCCACCCGAGGCAGCTCCACTGCCCGCACCCCCACCACCTGCACCCGCACCAGCTTCAACTGCACCCGTTGCACATGCGGCACTGGCAGCAGCAGCAGCACCAGCAGCACCAGCAGCAGCAGCAGCAGCACCAGCAGCAGCAGCAGCGGCTCTTTCAGCAACCCCTCTGTCGTCAGCCACACTCGCATCGGCACCGCCAGCTGCACCCGCAGTGCCAGCTGCACCCGCTGCAGTTGCAGTGCAGTCCGCACCAGCAGCAGTGTCTCCAGCAGTGCGCGGTGCAGGTGCAGCAGGAGTGGATGGGGGAGAGGATGTGCCGTCAGCAGGCGCGGATGGGGAGGCGTTGGTGGGAGAGGGGCGCGAGGGGGAGAGAATGCAAGGGGAACCCGAGCAGAGGAATGAGGGGAAGGAGGAGGGAAACGGAAAAGAGGAGGGAAATGAAGAGGAAGGGGAAAACGGCGAGTGGGGAGAAGAGGATGAGGAGGGTTTGCCAGGGACGACAAGTGGGCATGAGTGTGGGGCTAGAAGCATGCCTGTTAGCACTGGTGGTGGAGGTGGTGGTGGTGGTGGGGATGGTGATGGTGATGGGGATGGTGATGGTGATGGTGATGGTGATGGGGATGGTGTTGGGGATGGGGATGGGGATGGGGATTGTGGTGGTGGTGATGATGGTGACGGGGATTTGGATGGGAATGGGGATGGTGACAGGGATAATGGAGTGGAATCATTAGGCAGAGGTGAGTTGCGGCAGGGTGTTGGGGGGAGGGCATTGGAGCACAGCGAAACTTCTCCCACTGACACAGCTGTGGGCAGTGATTCAAGGGAGATGGGCGTGGGTGTGCTGGTACCCCAGGCGCAACAAGGTGCTCGTGGTGCTGCCGGTGGGGTCACTAAGGCTCACAGACGCACTGCTGCTGCTGGCGCCACTGATTCTGACACGCATGAAGGGGAACCGGTGCTCGGAAAGAGGGGTTTGGGAAGAGAGGGTTTGCGAGGTGGAGAGCCTAGCGCGCCTTTGGAGGCGCTTCCATTGGCGAGAGACAAGGAGGGGGGCGAGCAGTGGCAGCAGGAGGCGGAGCAGGAGCAGGGAAGAGTGAGTGCGCTTGCCGTCCCACATAGAAATGGCGTCTCAGATTCTGTTGGCAGGGGCGCCGGCCTTGCTGCCAGGCGTGGTGGTGAGAGTGGCAGCACAGATGCTCGTGCTGCGATGCTCGTGGGGGCTGCGCCCGCAGGGCAGGACAGGCCAGCAGGGCAGGACAGGCCAGCAGGGCAGGACAGGCCAGCAGGGCAGGACAGGCCAGCAGGGCAGGACAGGCCAGCAGGGCAGGACAGGCCAGCAGGGCAGGACAGGCCAGCTCGTGGGGTGTTGGGCGAGGAAGGGGTGAGGGTGAGCAGGGAGGGTGGTGAGGGCAGTGAGGGTGGCAAGGGTGGGCAGGATGTGCAGGGGAAGGGGGGCGAGACGGGAGGGGCGAGTGAGCAGGGCAGCGCGGGTGCGAGGGAAGAGGGGGCGGAACAAGAGGTGGGAGCCAAAGCGGAGGGCAACAAGTGTGTTGAGGAGTGGGGGGTAGAGGTGAAGGGAGAGGTTGAGGAGGGGGCGGATGAGGGGGTTGGAGGGGATACGGTGGTGTTTGTAGGGGTAGGAGGAGGGGGAGGGGATGTAGGGGCAGGGGCAGGGGCAGGGGAAGGGGAAGCAGAGGAGGAGGTGGGGAGGGGAAGGAGGGGGAGGAGGAGAGGAGGCGGGGTGGGGGTGGGAGGGCGAGGAGGAGGGAGGCAGAGGGGACTCGTTGTGCCGAGGGCAGGTGGGCGCCACATGGTGCGTTGAGTTGAATGCATGGGCTGTGTGGGGAGGTTGGAGAGAGGGGACGGGGAAATGTGTGTTAGAAGAGAGAGAATTGATGCACTGAATAATGAGCCAAAAGGCTCTTTAGTACAAGCAATGAGCAAGGGAAAGATGAGAAGGAAGCTTACCCTATTGGCCAATAAGTTGGCATATGGGTGAGCTTGCTTATGGCCCAAGCAACCACAAAATATGTGTTGGTTGGGATTGGTTGAGGTAAGGACCAATCCCTTTCAACCACAAAATGTGGTTGGAGGGTACACTAACCAACCCCCCAATTTATAAGAGTGCTACACATCTAAGTCTAGCCTATGCATGTTGTATAAAATATGGAATTACAACACAACCCCCCAACATGCATAAGGCTAGAAGGCTACAATCAAGAAGCGGGGACCAACTTCGGAGGAGTAAGGCCAAGGAGACGAAGCAGTGAAGAGTGAGCCGCATGAGGAAGAGCTTTTATGAAGATGTCGGCAAGGTTGGCCGCGGAGTCAACCTTGTCGAGCCGCAGGCGCCCAGCCTGAACAAGATCACGAATGAAGAAATGACGGAGCTCAATGTGCTTGGAGCGCCCGTGAAACACAGCATCCTTCGTGAGGTGAATGGTGCTGGCGTTGTCACACCAAATGGTGGGGCAGCGCTGGGGGGCACCTAGCTCCTCAAGAAGGAAGGAGAGTCAGCGAGCCTCTTGTGCAGCCATGGTGGCGGCATACAACTCGGCTTCGCAGGACGAGAGGGCGATAGCCGAGGAGCGCGTGGAACGCCAGCTGATGAGGCCGCTGCCAAGAGAGAAGCCATAGCCCTGGGAGGAGCGACGGTCTGGTCGGGAGTCAGCCCAGGAGGAGTCACTGTAGCCGCTGAGGAGAGGTGGGGAAGGGCCGCCAAGGGTAAGGACATAGTCCTTGGTGCCACGAAGGTAACGGAGGACGCGCTTGGCAGCCTGCCAGTGCTCAGCCGTATGCTTGCCAGCGCCAACGAACCGAGCGAGGACGCTGATGGGGTAGGCAAGGTCAGGGCGAGTGGAAACCATGGTGTACATGAGGGAGCCGATGAGCTCGGGATAAGGATGGGAGGAGGTGGAGGGGGAGGTGGGTGGAGAGAGGTGGTGCCCGACAGAAAGAGGTGTATGTTGGGCGCCGCCGCGGGCCATGTCAAACCGCTCCAAGACCTGCTGCAAGTAATGACACTGGGAGAGTGAGATGGTGCGGGCGGAACGGTCACGGGTGATGGTCATGCCCAGATAATGCTGCAGCTCTCCCAAGTCTTTGCACTTGAGACGGGTGCCCAACTCAGCCTTAACATGCTCCAACTCTCCAAGGTCGGCAGTGAGCAGAATCATGTCATCGACATACACAAGGATGTAAAATGGGGAGGGGGAGGTGCGGAGGAAGAGGCTGGCGTCAGAGCGGGAGGTGCGGAACCCAAGTTCAGCAAGGGTGGCGGCAAGTTTAGCATGCCACTCCCTCGGGGCCTGTCGGAGCCCATACACCGGTCGACGCAGCTGCCAGACAGAGTCAGCTGGGAAGGGGAGGTGAAAGCCGGCTGGACGCTCCATGTAGATAAGCTCGCGGAGGACGCCTTGTAGGAAGGCGTTAGAAACGTCCATCGAGTGGATCTCCATATTGAGGCGAGCGGCGAGGTCGAGCACGGCACGAACAGTAGCAGGCTTGGCAGTAGGGGAGAAGGTATCGAAGAAGTCAAAACCATACCGCTGCGTGAACCCCTTGGCGCAGTAACGAGCCTTATAGACGGGCGGCTCCCCTGGCAGCTGCTTGACGCGAAACACCCACTTTCCTTTCACCACGTTCGTAGGGGCGGGAGGGCGAGGCACATCGACAAAAGAGGAGTTGCCAATAAAGGCCTCCAGCTCCTTGATGATGGCGGCGAGCCATAGCGGAGCGTCAGGGCACGCCATTGCCTCCTCGTACGTGGTAGGAACGAAAATGGAGGGAGCAGAGGAGAAGGCGAAGACAGGTGTGCCGGAGAGGTCGAACGTGATGGGTAGAAGCGAGGGGTCATAAAGGTGGAGGTCAAGGAACTCTTCATGGGAGTCCTCAGAGAGGGAGGTGTGGAAGGCGCGGATGATTGCTGGTGCCGCTGCTGGTGTTGCTGGTGGAGGCGTTGCCGGTGCCGCTGCTGGTACTGCTGCTGGTGCCGCTGCTGGTGCCGCTGCTGGTGCCGCTGCTGGTGCCGCTGTTGGTGCCGCTGCTGGTGCCGCTGCTGGTACTGTTGCTGGTGCTGCTGCTGGTGCCGCTGCTGGTGCCGCTGCTGGTCCCACTGCTGCTGCCGATGCCGCTCCCGCTGCTGCTGCCGCTGCTGGTCCTGCTGCTGCTGCTGCGGCTGCTGGCGCTGCTGCTGCTGCCGCTGCTGCTGCTGCCGCTTCTGGTCCCGCCGCTGCTGCCGCTGCTGGAGCCGCTGCTGGTGCCGCTGCTGGAGAGGAGGTGGCTGAGGGGGCTGTTGCATGAGGGGCTTGATGCAAGACAGCCTGGAAGAAGTGACGAAGGAGGGGGGAGAGAGAGGGGAGGGTAGAGGTAGAGAGGGTAACGGGAGGCGGTGCACCAAGGATACCGTCACGTGACCTGGTGTGGGTATACCGGGTGAGTATGGTGCGGGAAGGGGGAGGACGGGTTCGTGGCGAGGGAGAGGAAGGGGGGGGGGGGGAGGGGTACTAGGAGAGGAGTGAGCGGGGGAGACAGGAGAAGACAGAGGTTCCGGGTCAAAGATGTCACCAGAAGAGGGAGGGGCACCATGGGACTGGGACGGCGGAGAAGGGGGGGGTGGGAGAATGGGGGGAGGAGGGAGTAGTGGGGGAGGGGTGGTGTCAGACCAGACTAGGGGACGGGTGAGAGGGGGGAGTGGGTCAGTAGATGTGGGAGAGGAGTAGTAGGGAGTGGACTCGTCAAAGACCACATCCTTACTGCGGATAAGACGACCGGATGGGGGGTGGAGGAAAAGGTAGTCGGGGGAGGAGGGATTATGACCAAGGAAGATGCAAGGAAGGGTGCGAGGGTCAAGCTTTCCCATGGAACGGGAGCGGTCAGAGGGGTGAATGAGGACATGTGCCTTAGAGCCCCAGACACGAAGTGATGAGGCATCAGGCTTGTCCTTCGTCCACAGCTCAGTGGGGGTGATGGAGGGGAGAAGGGGGTGAGGGTAAAGGTTAGTAAGGAGGGCGGCATGAAGGAGGGCGTAGCCCCAAAGAGAAGGGGGGCAGGAGGCGTGGACAAGCAAGCACCGGGCTGTTTTGGTGATCTCTCGAACACGACTCTCAGCCACGCCGTTCTGCTGTGGGGAGTGAGGGAGGGTGTAAGTCTGAAGGATGCCACGAGACTGACAATAGGAGGAGACTTGGTTGTTGAGGAACTCACCACCTCCATCAGAGTGAAGGCGGCGAACAGGGCGCCCAAAATGGGTGTTTGCCCGCTCGAGCCAGGCGATGATCGCAGCCGGGGCATCCGCCTTCGTCCGAAGGAGAGAGACGGACGAGTACCGACTGTGATCATCAACAAGCACGAGAAGGTAGCGATGGCCCTGGCGAGTGGGAGAGGGATTAGGGCCCCATAGGTCCATGTGAACAAGATCAAGTGGCTGCGCAGTAGTGGAGGGGGAGCTCCGGTGCGGCTGCTGCTTGAGCTTGCTCTGAGCGCAGACGGTGCAGGGGGGGGCAGGGGATTTGGGGAGGGGAGGGAGGGAGGAGGGGAGACCGTGGAGGGACCGGAGGAGACAGAGGAGCGCAGAGTAGCGAAGTTGGGGTGGCCTAGCATGTGATGGAGGAGGATGGTGGGGTGGGAGAGGGAGCGACAGGAACAGTCAGAGTCAGGAGGGCGGGGGGGGAGGGGTGGGTTAGTGAGAGGGAGGGGAGGGGGGGGGGGGGAAGGAGGGGGGGGGAGGCAACTTGGAAGGTGAGGGGGCGGGGAACCCGAAGGGTGTACAGACGGGAGCGAGGACAATAGGGAATACGGGCGAGAAAACGACCTGTGGAGGTTTGGTATAGGTCACAATGGTTAGCACCACCTGGGATGAGAGTGGTGATCATGGCTTGTTGGAGGGACCTTTGGGAGAGGAGGTTAGTACGAAGGGAGGGAATGTGGAGACCGGTGACAGTACCTGAGGGAAAGAGAGGACAGGGAGGTTGGTGTGGGGAGAGGGCGCAGTGTACCAGCGTCGCGAAGGACAGTGTCAGTGGCTCCACTGTCCAGAACGAAGTCAATGGTGGAGGAAGGTGAGGCAGAGTATTGGAACGAAGTTTCATTAGCAGAAGAAGGGTACATGGGAGATGCAACAGATTCAGGTTGACCTAATAAACCAACAAAACCAGAGGAAGGGAAAGCGGTCACACTGCCACCTGCAGACGGCGTCGGGGATGCACCCGAGAGATGGGCTGCAGAGGCAGCACTCCCAGCAGTCCAGGTAGGAAAGGGCTGCTGCTGGGAAACCGGAGGAGGAGGGAGGAGGGGCAGTTGCGGCTGGAGGGCGAGCTGCTGCTGGAGATGCTGGAGCTGCTGCTGGAGCTGAGAGAGGAGAAGCTGCTGCCCATACTGCTGTGACCCCTGCTGCTGTGACCCCTGCTGCTGATTCCCAAGCTGCTGCTGCTGTTGCTGCTGCTGGTGCTGCTGCTGGGGAGGGGCGAGGGCCTGGTGGGCATGGGTGGAGGAGGGAGGTTCATAGAGGGGAGAGGAACGGACCTCAAGGGGAGTGGGGCGAGGGTTGAGGGCGGACCAGCGAGGAGGGGTGCCGGTGTTGCCACGGGCAAACCACTCATCACTGAGTGCCTTGAAGCACGTCTCAGTGGCATGGGTGGTTTGGCCGCAACGCTGTCCCTGAGTGGGACCGTAGCGAGGCAGGTACTGACAGGGAGGAAAGGCAGCTGCCGTACCACGACCCGCACCACTGCTGCCAGCACCACCGCGACCTGCTGATCCCCCTCGTCCACCCCCACGCCCACCACCACGCCCACCCCCACGCCCACCGCCACGGCCACCCCGGCTGCTGCGCGACTGGGCTGCTGCGGCTGTGGAGGAAGAGTGGCGAAGGATCTCAGCTTCGGTGGTGATAATCCACTGAGCGACTTCGGCAGGGGTGTGGTGCTTGGAGATAAGCTGCATGTAAGCAAGCTTGTGAGCGTCGAAGGCAGGTGTGAGGCCCTCGAGGAGGTGGCAGCAGATGACGGTGTCCGGGTACACCACATCGAGTGCTGCAAGGCGCCGAGCAAGGTCTAAGACACGGCGAGTGAAAGCAGCTGCGCCAGAAGTGGAATCCATGGAGAGAGTTCCAAACTCCTTGATAAGGGCGTAAAGAGTGGCAACGTCCTGCCGATCGAAAAGGTCGACCAGCAGTCGCCACAGGTGGGAGGAGGAGGTAGGTGAGAGCTCGCGTTTGAGGGAGGAGGGGATGGTGGCGAGAAGAATGGCAAGCGCGCGTCGATCAGCAACCCGCCAGGCAGTAATTTTCGTGGTGTAGTCTGCAAGTTCTGCAGTGTAGGTGTCCAGGTCCTCCTGGTACTTGTTGTAGCGGGCAGCGGCGTCGACATAGATGCGCCTGTCGTCTTCGTAACGCAATTGCAGGCGCAGGTGCTCTTGGAGATTGGTGCGGTAGGTGCGAATGGCGGTTTCCGAGCTCTGTGGGTCGTTGACATTCGGCGCAAAGGTGGGAGGATCACCGGGGGGAGAGGGCTCGGCGCCAGGGTGGGCGGGGGCAGGTCCAGTAGGAGCGGTGGGGGCCACGGGCTGAAGTCCACCGCCTTCCTGAAAGACAACCGAGCGAAGGTTGTAGCCGCTGACCACAACAGAGGAGAGGAGCACCTCAACGGAATGAGCATAAGAGTGCCAATCAGCAGCAGAGTTGTCAGGCAGCAACTCGAGTGCGTCAACAGTGGCAAGGTCGACGGAAGAATCGGACGACGATGCCATAGAGATGAGGGTGGGTAGAGGCTAGGGCAGGAGGAGGATGGTGCGAGGGTACCGTTGCCAGTGCTGCTGCTGGCCCTGCTGCCCGTGCCGCTGCTGGTTCTGCAGCTGGTGCCGCTGCGGATGCTGCTGCGGGTAGGATGGGAGGAGGAGGAAGGGAGGAGCGGAGGGTGGGGAAGGTGGAGAAGGAGGAGGGCGATGCTATGGGGGATGCAAGGGGGAAGGGTGCAGCTGGTGGTGCCGCTGCAGGTGCTGCTGCTGGTGCTGCTGCAGGTAGGATGGGAGGAGGAGGACGGTGGAGGAGGAGGGCGATGCTATGGGGGAGGCAAGGGGGAAGGGTGCTGCTGGTGGTGCCGCTGCTGGTGCTGCTGCTGGTAGGATGGGAGGAGGAAGGGAGGAGCGGAGGGTGGGTTGGGTGGAGGAGGAGGAGGGCGATGCTATGGGGGAGGAAAGGGGGGAGGATGCTGCTGGTGGTGCCGTTGAGATGCCGCTGATGATGCTGCTGCGGGTACAATGGGAGGAGGAAGGGAGAGAGGGGGGGGGGGGGGTGGGACGAAGAGGGCAGCCGTGCGGCAGATCCGCGCGACTGGGAAGCCCGTGGCGAATGCACGCGGGACAGCCCGCGGCAAACGAGCGGGACGTGCAGAGATGGGCGCGAAATGGTCAGATTTCAGCGCGGGAGATGCAGATCTGGTCGCGCGGAGTGCAGATCTGGTCGCGCGGAGGGCAGATCTGGTCGCGCGGAGGGCAGATCTGGTCGCGCGGAGGGCAGATCTGGTCGCGCGGAGGGCAGATCTGGTCGCGCGGAGGGCAGATCTGGTCGCGCGGAGGGCAGATCTGGTCGCGCGGAGGGCAGATCTGAGCGCGCGGAGGGCGGATCTGGGCGGGAGGAGTGCAGATCTGGGTGCGAAATGTTCAGATCTGGGCGCGGGATGAGGAGATCTGGTGGCGCGGAATCCAGATCTGGGCGCGGAATGATCAGATGTAGGCGCGGGAGGAGTAGATCTGGTCGCAGGGAGTGCAGATCTGGGCGCTGGAGTTGCAGATCTGAGCGCGGGGAGTGCAGATCTGGGCGCTGGAGTTGCAGATCTGAGCGCGGGGAGTGCAGATTTGGGCGCTGGAGTTTCAGATCTGAGCGCGGGGAGTGCAGATCTGGGCGCTGGAGTTGCAGATCTGAGCGCAGGGAGTGCAGATCTGGGCGCTGGAGTTGCAGATCTGAGCGCGGGGAGTGCAGATCTGGGCGCTGGAGTTGCAGATCTGGACGTGCCTTGGAGGGCAGCGCCTTAGGGGGCGCACGGGGAGGGAGGACGGCGCCTAAAGGGCGCGTGAAGGGAGGGCAGCTCCGTGTGTGGGGCTAGATCTGAGGAACGGGGAGGAGAGGGTGGCGTAAGGACCGAGGGAGGAAGGCGTGAGCCATTAGCTCATGATACCATGTTAGAAGAGAGAGAATTGATGCACTGAATAATGAGCCAAAAGGCTCTTTAGTACAAGCAATGAGCAAGGGAAAGATGAGAAGGAAGCTTACCCTATTGGCCAATAAGTTGGCATATGGGTGAGCTTGCAACCACAAAATATGTGTTGGTTGGGATTGGTTGAGGTAAGGACCAATCCCCACCAACCACAAAATGTGGTTGGAGGGTACACTAACCAACCCCCCAATTTATAAGAGTGCTACACATCTAAGTCTAGCCTATGCATGTTGTATAAAATATGGAATTACAACAATGTGGGGATATATATGTGTGTGCGTTTGGGCGTGGGCGTGTGTGGAAGGGTGTGTTTGTGTGCTTCACTTGTTCGTCGCACTGCATCTTGCTAACACCCACCCGTTTGCTGCTTCCGTCTCTGTCCCCTCCTATTCAGGAGCAGCAGCAGGAGCAGCAGCAGCAGCAAGAGGAGGAGGGTGAGCGGGTGCACGGTGCAGCAGTGGTTAGCAGTGCCGCGCCCGCAGCTGCACCCAGCAGTGTGCCTTTTGCAGCAGAAGCCATGACAGGTCATAGGCTGAGGTCAGCTGGTAGCACCGGAGGGAATGGGGGGCGAAGGAGGGCGTGGGGTGGGGAGGTGGAGGAGGTGCGGGCAGATAAGATGTGCATGGATAAGGGAGGGCTGCTGGGAGGGGAGGGAGGTGGTGTGGGGAGCGAGGAGAGGGGTGTGGGAAGGAGGAGGGGGAGGCGGAGGAAGAGCGAGAGGATGAAGGATGAAGAATATCTCTGGGGCACGGTTCATGGTTCAGACGGAGGGGAAGAAGAGGAGGAAGAGGAAGAGGAAGAGGAAGAGGAGTATGAAGAGGATGAAGCGGAGGAGGAAGAGGAGGAGTATGAGGAAATGAAGGAAGCAGATGAGGAGGAAGAGTTGCTGACTTGGAAAGATGCTCAGGGTAACGGAAGAGTTGGTAACGGCACGTATGTGAGTCAAGGGCAGTACGGCGAAGCAGAGGAGATGGCACGCTGTTTGATGGCAGGTGCTGAGAAGGGCGAGGGTGAGGTGGACGATGGCAGGGAGGGAGACGTGCAGCACAACCCTGGGCAGCGGAGGAGAGGGTATGGCGGCCAGGAGCTGGGGCATGAGGGTGGAGGGAGAGGCGGCCTTGGTGCTGCAGGTGTGGCTCTGGAGAGTGGTGGAGGGCGAGGGGTAGGAGGAGGAGGAGAGAGGGAACGAGAGAGGGATGTGGTTCGGCAGGTTCGGCGTGACATGGTTCGGTTGGAGGCTCGGATACCGTGGCTCGGGGTCAGGTCTGGGTGGAGGAACCGAAGGTCGGCGTGGCGGAGGGCGGTTAGAGACAGCTGTAGCGCTCTGGTTGGTCCTTCCTTCTCTCCCATTTCTATTGTTCCTTCTTCCTTTGTCCATGTCTTTCTCTTCTGTTGTGCCTTTGCCTGGGTCCATTCGTTTGCCTGGTCATGACTCTTTCTTTTTACTTGTTAAACACAAGCCATGCCAACCTCTCCCTTTAGCCCTGTTTCGGTATGCGTTTTGAGCTGTTTTGGTCTGCCATACACGAGCATTCTCGTAGTATCCCTTCCATTCTCCTAGTGTGTTGCGTCGGATTACAAATGCCTGCATTGCCACGAGGAACGCCGTTCTGTTGAGAGCTTCCTGCTCCCATCGCGCGCTCCTCTGTTGACCGTTGTTGAGGCACCCCTCAGCACGTTTGTGAACCTCCACCTCACCTCACCTCACCTCACGTCACCTCACCTCACCTCAACTCACCTCACCTCACCTCACCTCACCTCACCTCACCTCACCTCGCTGCAATCCTTCGTCCCAACCCCCAAACCGCACTGGGCAGGAGTTGGTGCATCGTGTGGACGAGTTTCGAGCGCACCTGCTGCTGCACCACGCTGCTCTCCTCTCCGACCACCACTGGGCCCTCCGTGTTGCTGCCGCTGCTGCTGCCTCTTCTGCTCCCACTACTGCTGCCCCTGCTCCTGCTCCTGCTGCTCCTGCTGCCCCTGCTCCTGCTGCCCCTGCTGCTGCTCCTGCTGCCCCTGCCCTTGCCACTGCCTCTTCTGCTCCAATTGCTGCTGCCCCTGCTCCTGCTGCCCCTGCTGCTGCTCCTGCTGCCCCTGCCCTTGCCACTGCCTCTTCTGCTCCAATTGCTGCTGCCCCTGCTGCTGCCCCTTCCCCTACCCCTGCCCCTGCAGCTGCTGCCGCCACTGCTGCTGTTGCTGCTGCTGCTGTTTCTGCTGCGCCTGCTCCTGGTGGGAATGACAATCGTGATGCCAGCTTTGGTGCCACCTCTGCTGCTGCTGAGGTCACCAACTCTGCTGGTGCTGACATGGCAGGATGGCATGCTGCCACCTGTCACGGCATGCTGTTGGAGCTCTGGACACGTCTGCATGATGACGTCAGCAAATGGCTTGAGGCTCGGCCCAAAGAGGCTGTTGGGAATGTGTGAGTTGCCGACATGGTGGCATGGTGGCATGGCGGTATGATGGCATGGTGGCATGGCGGTATGATGGCATGATGGCATGGCGGTATGATGGCATGCTGGCATGGTGTGAGCACAGGTGTGAGCACAGGTGTCAGCATAGTTGTGTGCACACTTTTGAACGTATTTCATCCTCCGTTGCCCTGTTGCTGTAGACCTTTCTCACACCTTCCGCTTCTCCCTTCTTCCACCTCTCGCTCCCCGTCCCCACGGCGTCCCCCTCAGTGTGTCAGCAGTGGCAACACTGGCACGCCACACAGCAGCCTCCCCAGCACACGCCACCCTGCCATCGCCATCACCCTCCCCCTCCTCCCGCGCCCTGCCTCCCACCGGCCCCCCTGTGGAGGCACTCTTCCCCTGGGTGGCGCACTTGAAGCCGCTGCTGCCTGCGCCCGCCCTCACTGCTGCAGTGGCCGTGGCAGCATCAGAGGCAGCAGCTGCTGTGAAGGGAGATGGGAGAAAGTTACAGGTTTGTGCTTCTCCCCCTACCCTTGCCCGCTCAAGCATCTCACTCTCTCCCAGCTCTTGGCTAGTCAGCATTGGCCTTGTCGTGCCGATGCCATCTCCTCATCTTCCCCAGTTTTCAACGCGCCCCATAACTCTCGGTGTCGTGCCGTGTCATCTCCATATTTTCCCCTTCCTGCCCTGGTTTTCCTGTTCCCTTTCTCTCGTTCTCTCTCTCTCTCTCGAATGGCCCTTTCATTGATTATCATAGGACTTACAGGCATGCAAGGTGGTAGCTTTTGTGAGTCTGGTGCATAAAGCCTCTTACTACTCTTCTACCATCCCCCCCCCCCCCCCCCCCCCCCCCCTTCCTAAGCTAGGTCCAGCGCAGGATCAAGGACCGAGAGGCAGTCCCCTAGGGACGGAGCCTCACCCACTGCCTCCAGCAGTGGGTATTCTACTGCAGCCGCTATGCTGCACTTTTCTAAGTATCCAATCGACTGCCCCCTTTGTAGAGCCACCGACCACCGCTGCCGATAGTGGTGTAAGAGCTTGGCAGCTTGGTAGGAGGTTGGCTCGGCGTTAAAGAACCGCCTTGCAGCCGTCTCCGCGAGCAGCTTCAGGAAATCCACTGTCTCCGGGCATGGGCACCCATAAGTCTCGACCGCAAGCGGGAAAAACTTCACCCACTCAGGGCGGTCCCTGTAGAGGCCGTGCTTCTTATCTGCCGCCTCCCGTGCTGCCCACCCCCGCCCCTTAGTTGCATTCTTGTCGCGGGTGCTGATGGGATCCGTCACCGTCACATCACAGATGTAGACGGCGCCATTGGAGCGGCAGCGGAGGGCCAGATCAGCCTTCTTCTCTTCCACTGGGCTGAAAGCGGCCGTTTCAATGTGCACCATGAAGCCTGCGTCGCGCGCCATTCGCGCGCATTCATCTCTTAGCTCATTATGCGTGTTTGTGCGCCCTCCCCCTGTCCCACATCGTAGCAGGTGGTTTGGGAGCCGCTTGTCTGGGATTTGCACCTTCTTCGAGCAATTGCAGACCCCGGGAGCCGCAAAGGGGAGCCCCAGCCGAAACTGGAGCGCATTGGCGTAGTGCGGAGCCTCGAGGTGTAGCGCGTGGTGCAGAGGCACCGCGTTTAACCAATCCCCTGCACCATACCCCGACAGGGATATCATCCGCTGCGTGTGACCATTGTTCGGGTTCGGGCTCATCCCCCTCACCTCCTCCACTTGGACAGCATAGCGCTGGCCCTGGATAGCCGTGGCCAGCCCGTGCTGCAGCTTCCCTGCGGTTGGGGCTGTTCTCTCTGCTTGCAGGGCTTCCTGAGCTGGCAGTGGGAGCTCCTCCTCGCATTTCGCTAGCCATTCGGTCAAGGGGGAGGCCTGAGTGTAGGGACCGCGCATCACCTCGCGTGTTACTTCCAGTGGGCCGGTGCATTCGTCCTCCAGGGAGTCCAGCAGGAGATGAGCCTGCGTGTAGCTGGCGAGGAAGCTGTAGCTTCCTTCCACGGACGGGTCCGTCAGTCCGAGGCCACCGAGCGATACGGGGAGGGAGGCCTGCGCCCATGTGCGTGATATTTCCTCCTCCCCCCGTGGGTGGTGAATGCCGCATGCCGTGAGCAGGGTATCCAACAGACGCCTCCCCCATTCGGACCACTCCCCTTGGGGCAGGGCCGGAAGGGGAGTCGTGCGGGCCAAGTAAGACACTCGGCGCGAGACGCACCGAGACAGCAGCAGACCCGCCAGCTGAGGCTCCATCCGCTCTATCGATCCCAGCGGCGCACCCATCGCTTCCAGGCTGGATCGTATGAAGGCGGATGTTGCTGTTGGGGTGCCGATGAAACTGCCCAGCACTTTCAACCCATCGCCGCTGAGTGGAACCCCCTCGGGCAGGGTGTAGTCCGCGGGCGACCCATCGGACCAGGCCCCGCACTTGGCGGGGTTGTGTCTGAGGCCGATTTCTGCAAGAAGGCCCGTGAAATTATCAAAAGCAGCCGCACATGACGACGGATCCCCTAAGAAGGTAACGTCATCCGCGTAAGCAAGACAGATGACATCCGGATGTGCCTCCGCCGCCGCCTTCAGAGCCGGTTGCATGGCCGCGGCAAAAAGAAGGGGGCCGAGGGGGTCCCCTTGGCGGACTCCGGTCTCGCTGAGCAAGGGCGCGTGGTTAAAGGCTGCGTCCAGGTGCAGTGCAGACGCCTGGCCGTAAGAGAAAATCACCAAAGGCAGTAGCGGCTCCAGCTGCGAGCCTTTCAGCGCTGTCGCTATGGCGAGGCGGTCGACGCTGTTGAAAGCGTTAGCTAGATCCGCCTGCAAGACTAGCGCCTCCGGATTGGCCGAGGTGAAGGTTCGAACGATGTGGATCACTGCCTCTGCTCCTCCCGGCACGGCAACCCCAAACTGTAATGGTAAGAAAAATTCTCTGGCCGCTTCTGCTAGCTGAGTAAGTGCTGCTTTGGCTGCCAGTCGTAGGATGCATTCACCTATTGCTATTGGCCTGGTCCCTCCGTCTGGCTTGTCAAGGGCTATCAACCTTGATGCGGTAAGAAGCCCCCCAACCTCCTTGCGCAGCTTCCCGCGAAGGATCGTGTTGACAAGCGCATGTAAGTGTGAACTGACCGCAGAATGCATCAGTGCAGCTTCGCGCAGGTGTTCGAACGTCGTGCCTGAAGGGCCTGCGCCGACCCCGTTCTCACACTTTGTGAGAAGTTTCAAGAAGGCTTCTCGCGACACTGCCAGGTAAGTGTCCGGCTCAGGCTGGGGCCACGGTGCGTCAGGATGCCTTCCACGCGGGTGCTTGGCGCGTAGAGATTCCAGAACTTCTGGGGTCGGCTTGCTGACTGGAGTGGCTTCAAGTGCCATGACAGCCCTTCGCAGGCTGCCACGACGCGCCAGACCTTCTGCCCTGGAGATAGCTCCCAGGTCATCTGGTTGGTGTCTGGAGGGTGGGGGCAGCTCCAGCGAATCCACTGTTTCCTGGTAAAGTGAATCCCACTCCCCTCGCAGGAATTTACGCAATCTGCTTCTGGTCGCCTTCCAATTAGGGTGCTTCGGCGACTGCTGACGCAATGTCAGGCGAGCGGCAAACAGCAAAACCGTCCAGGCTTGGGTGGAATCAGGGTCGTCGGCGAGTCGCAGCAGTGGTGTCAGTAAGACCATTGCGAAAAGCAGGCGCAGTTTTTCCGGGAGGCGACGTGCCAGAGGTGCGTTGCGACTGTCGCGTAGCTTGTCCAGATTCCAGTCACTGACGCTCGCGAAAAGTGTGTCATCCTTGGCGAGGGTCTCTGGCGATTTTTGGGGGAGGGGTTGAGACTGCTGTTGGTTACCCCTCGCTGCAGTTCGCGGTGCAATTACAGGTGTTGGTGGCGGGATTTGTTGGGCGGGCTGGTTGGCAGTGGTGTCAGGGTTGTTGGGAGCAGTTTGAATTGGTGGGGATGGTCGCGGTTGGGTGGGCGCGTGATTGAAATTTGTTGCCGCGCTTCGGGCATGGGTTGAGTTGCCTCTCTGCCGTGCTGGGGTCTGTGACTGGGCCTCTTCCGAGGCATTCGAAGTTGAGTCTGATTCCTCCTCCTCCGCCTCATAAATACTCCCCGACAAAGCATCTGCTTCATTAGCTCTTCCCAACTCAGTTAAAGCCCTTCGCGCCGCCGCCTGGAACGCGTTCTCCGGTCCGCCCTCTCGCGTACTCCGTCCACGCCCGCGACCTCCGGCACGACCTCCGCGCATCCGCGCATTGGCCGCGGCCAGCTGTGGACTCCCTCGACTCGCTTCTCCCGCGCTCTGGCGCGACCTTGCGTCCTCGATCGCCTGCTGCCGACGCGTTCGCCGTAATGGCGACTGAAGCGGAGAGGTCAGCGGTGGACCATGGTCACACCGCTGAGAGTGCGATTGCTCCGCCTCCGGCCCCTGCTGCCGCTGTTGCTGTTGCTGCTGCTCCCCTGCTCCCCTCGGCTCCCCCTGCTGTTGTTGCGACGTCCGCGGTTCCGCACCCGCTGTCGCCGGCTCCCCCGCCAAGCCTTCCGCACGCTGTTCCCGTGTCCGGCGCGCCGGTTCCCGTTGCGCAGCCGTCGCATGTGGCCCAGCCGCCCGCCCAAGCTGTCGCTGGGGGCCCTGCGCAGGGGACAGCGGTGGGCGCCGGCCCCGATTCTGCCCACTTGGTTGCCCCTTCTGCTGCGCCGGTGAATCCCGTCGCGCAGCGGCTCGCGGAGTCCCAGATACGCGCTGCCGCGGGGGGCAATGCGGCAGCGCATCGGGGGCGAGGTTCTCCTCGGCGTCGTCCCTCCTCGTCATATCGTTCGGCGCACCGCGGAGGTCGCGGTGGCTGGTGGGGAGGTCACGGTCGCGGGCGCGGTGGGCCGAGCGAGATGCAGCAGCTGCGCGAGGATTTCCCGGGGATGCTGGCTGCGGCGATGCGCAACGCTCTGAATGGCGCACCGAATCTTGGTAGCTCCCCGGCTCCCGCCGCTCCTGCGCCCGCGCCTGCCCCTGTGAATGCGCAGGTTCCGGCCGCGCCCCTTGCTGCACCTGCTCCGCACGCATCTGCGTACCGCGGGCTCCTGCTCCTGGCAGTGACCGTGCTCCGCCTGCCTACGTTCGTCCTGTGTCTGCCTCGCAGTATCCGCCCCTGCCCTGGATTCCCCCTCTTCTGGACACGGGATTTGTGGGAGCGGGAGGCGGAGGGGCGAGGGGAGCCTTCGTTCCTCCGCGTCGTTTTGCTGAAGCTCCGTCCGTGCAGCCTCCGCCCCCTCTTCCCGTTCCGCCTGCCGCGTTGAGGACCGGAGTGGCTCAAGTTCCCACGGCGACCCTCGCGCAGCTGTGGCGCTTGGTGGAGTGCCAGCAGGCCCTGACACTGATTCTGGTGAATGCGGACTTCGCCATTCTCCAGAGCCCAGGGAGCACTCTCGGTCGTGAGGCGCGAGGAGATTGCTTGGCGGCGGCTGCGCAACTTGCCTTCCTCCTCCTACCCTTGCTGGGAGCGCCCGCGATGGGAGGCGTTGCGGTTTCAGAACTGGACGGAGCGGTCCAGGGTCTGACCGCACACCTCCAGGCTGGTGGCGGGATTGAAGCTGTAGGCGCGACCGCGTTAGTGTTGATTGCTTATTGTTTGTCTTGCTGCCGAACCTTGCCACCCCTAAGCACGCGGCCGAAGGCCGCGCAACGCGAGCGCTGGCGGCCGCAGGCCGCCGGCGCGAGCGCCTACGAAAAACTGGAAAACAGAATGAACTAATGAGGAGAGAGACCCATACGGGACCCTTATATAGCTTGGAGGCAAGGGACAGAGGCAAGGGACAGAGGCTAAGTCCTCTCTCTCTCTCTCTCGCTCTCTCCGCCTACGAAAAACTGGAAAACAGAATAAACTAATGAGGAGAGAGACCCATACGGGACCCTTATATAGCTTGGAGGCAAGGGACAGAGGCAAGGGACAGAGGCTAAGTCCTCTCTCTCTCTCTCGCTCTCTCCGCCTACGAAAAACTGGAAAACAGAATGAACTAATGAGGAGAGAGACCCATACGGGACCCTTATATAGCTTGGAGGCAAGGGACAGAGGCAAGGGACAGAGGCTAAGTCCTCTCTCTCTCTCTCTCTCTCTCTCAAGCGGTCCGTGTATTAGATCCGAGCAAGGTACAGACATGCACAAGGATATAAGAAGCAATGCATCTCAGCTTCTAAAACCCCCCCATCCTACCTACCCTCCTTCACCCTCTAAGGCAGCTCCAATGCCGGCTCCAGGATGGCAAGGCAGTCCCCGAGGGACATTCCTTCGCCCGGCAGCGCCACAGGTGGGTTCTCCACCTGAGCCGCGTAGTTGCACTTCGTCATGAAGCTCACTGACTGCGCCCGCTGCAGCGCCACGGACCACCGCTGGCGGAACTGGTGCAGCAGCTTTGTTGCCTGGTAAGATGAGGGGGCCGCGTTGAAGAGCCGGCGCGCGCCGGTGTCGGCCAGAAGTTTGAGGAATTGAGGGACCTCCGCGCAAGGACAGCCATAGGTATCAACGGCACGGGGGAAGAACCCGACCCACGAGGCCGTTGAGCCCTCGTAGTCGGAGATCTTCTTCTCCGCCGCCTCCCTGGCCGCCCATCCCCTGCCCTTGACCGCGTTGGGATCCCGTGTGCTGATGGGGTCCGTGATGGTCACGTCCCCTATCCACACCGCTCCTGAGGACTTGTCCCGGATCGCAATGTCGGCTTTCTTCAGAGTGACGGGGCAGAACGTAGTCGTTTCGCTGTGAGTCATGAAGTCAGCGTCGGCGGCCATGTGTACACACGCATCGCGCAACTCATTGTGCGTGTTGGTCCGCCCCTTCCCCGTGTCGCAGCGCAGCAGGTGGTTGGGCAGGCGCCTGTCAAGGATTGCCGTCTTATTGCGGCAGTCACACGCGCCAGGTGCCGAGGAGGGTAACCCCATCCTGAACTGCAGCGCATGCGCAAAGTGAGCCGGGGCAAGCCGCAGTGTCGAGTTGAAGGGGACCGCGTTGAGCCAGTCTCCTGCCCCATACCCTGAGAGTGAAAGCATGCGCTGAGTGTGCCCGCTTAGTGGGTTGAGTGGCATGATGCGTGTAGCCTGCACCTGCTCCGCGTAGCGCAGTCCGTGTACCGCGATTGCCAGCCCATGCTGCAGCTTGGCGCCCTTGGGATTAGCCCGATCGCTCTGCAGCAGCTCCTTCCCATCGTCCGGCAGTGACTCCTCACACCTCTCCAACCAGTCAAAGAGCGGGGACGTGTTGATGAAGGGCCCCACCATCTGGACCCGCGTTTCCGCCAAGGCGCCGACGGCCGACTCATCAATGGAGGTGAGCAGGTGCTGCGCTTGCGTGTAGCTTGCAAGGAACCCAACAGGACCCTCCACCGAAGGGTCTGTGAGTCCCAAACCACCGAGCGAGATGGGGAGTGACGCTTGCGCCCAGGTACGTGAAATCTCGGCCTCCCCCCGTGGGTGGCGAATGCCGCAGGCAGTCAGCAACGTCTCAAACAGCTTTTTACCCCAGTCTGACCACTCCTCGACTGGCAGGGCCGAAAGCGGCGTGGTGCGGGCGACGTAAGCGATCCGCCGTGAGATGCACCGTGAGAGCAGGAGGGAAGCCAGCTGCGGCTCCATCCGCGCGATTAAGGGCAGCGGCACTCCCATGGTGTCGAGGCTGGCACGTAGGAACGCGGCGGTTGCGTCGCTGCCACCGATGAAGCTGCCAAGCACCTTCACCCCATCTTCTGTGAAAGGTACGCCCACTGGAAGCGCTGCTCCCTGCTGGCCAGCCTGAGACCAGGCCGCGCACTTGGCTGGGTTGTGGCGCAGCCCGATCTCCCCGAGGTTTCCTGTGAAGTCCTCAAATGCCGCCGCGCACATGGCTGCATCCCCAAGAAAAGTTACGTCGTCCGCATAGGCTAGACAGACCACGGAGGGGAAGCTGAGCGCCGTTTTCGTCAGCGCTGGGTGTATGGCGGCAGCGAACAGCAACGGGCCGAGGGGATCTCCCTGCCGCACCCCGGTCTCGCTCAGCAGAGGTGGGTGTGAGAAGCCAGCGTCCAGACATAGAGCCGAAGGAAGGCCGTACAGCAGTTTAACTAACGGTAAAAGTGAAGCGAGAGAGGAGTCCCGAAGAGATGTGATGATGGCGTCGCGGTTAACGCTGTTAAATGCGTTCGCCAGATCAGCCTGTAGGACCAAAGCTCCTGTGTTCACCGTGAGGTACGTGCGTGTGATGTGGATAATCGCCTCCGCCCCGCCAGGGACTGCCACGCCCAACTGGTGCGGTAGGAAGAATACACGAGCGGCCCCTGCAGTCAAAGTAAGCGCCGTCTTAGCTACCAGGCGTGTTATGCTCTCGCCGATGGCAATTGGTCGCGTCCCCCCATCGGGCTTGCTCAGGGCAATCAATCTTGAGGCGGTGAGGAGCTCAGCCACCGCAGGAGGTAATTTTCCTGTTAATATCGTGTTGACTAGCGCGTGCAGGTGTTTCCCAACGGAGTGGTTGATCAGTGCTGCATCGCGTAAGTGTTCGAAAGTTGTTCCTGAGGGGCCCGCTCCCACCCCCATCTCGCAGCTTCCCAGCACCTTGGAGAAGACAGCAAACGGTGCCGATAGGTGAGGGTCAGGTTCTGGAAAGTTCCAGTCAGGTGGGGAGGCGGGCGCAGGTGGGTGCTTGGCGCGCAGGGCCTCCAGCACAGTTGGAGAGGGGGTGCTGACTGGCGTGGCTTCAAGTGCCATCACGGCGCGTCGTAGGCTGCCACGTCGTGCCAACCCCTCTGCCCTAGCGATGACACCAATGTCATCAGCCTGGTGTCTGGGTGGTTGGGGCCACGACAGTGAACCCACTGTTTCAGTGTATAATTTGTCCCATTCTCCAGACAGAAACTGACGAAGGCGGGCACTGACAGCCTTCCAGTCTGGGCGCCTAGGTGACAGCTGGCGAAGTGTTAATCGAGCGAGAAACAGGACGACCGTCCATGCAGAAGGTGAGTCTGGATATTTCGCCAAGCGCAGCAGCGGAACCAACAGAGCTGTGGCGAAAAGTTTGCGTGGGTCTGGTGGGAGGTGACGGGAAAGAGGTGCGTGGCGAGAGTCACGCAATTTCGTCAGATCCCAGTTTGACACGCTGGCGAATAGCGTGTCGTCCTTGGCGAGTGATTCTGGGGCTTTCTCCTCTGGGGCTTGGGTTGGGACGGGGTTACCGCCAGGTGCAGATTGATGTCCGGCCTGGCTAGGGGTCTGAATGTGGGAATTCGTGGTTGGGATTGGTGCAGTTACAATGTTGCCTGATGCGGCTCGGGTTGGTGTTGGGGGACCCCTCCTAATGGATCTCACTGCTGCAGCTCCCCCCGCCATGTGAGATGCTGCTGCTGCTGCTCTGCCCGCTCGAGCAGGAGTCTGAAGCTGCTCGTCGTCCAAGGACTCAGAGCTGGAAGTCGAGTCAGTGGACTCGGCTGCTACAAAGCTACTGTCTGAAGTGGAGGTTTCATTATCACCGCTCATCTCGTTTAAAGCCCGCCTCCCCGCCTGCTGGTACACGTTTTCCGGTCCACCCCCACGTGCTCTCCCCCCGCGTCCCGCAGCTCTCCTTCCGCGGCCTGCTGTTCTTCCGCCGACTTGTCGGCCGCTGAGTGTCCGCGCGCCCTCTTCCCGACGTACCGATGAGTTCCCTTGAAGCTCCTGCCTTGGGGCGAACCGCGGAGAGCGATCCAGCTCCCCGCCCGCTTCCTCCTGCGCGCCCTGCCGCGAGCGTGCCTGTCGCGCCGCCGGCGTCTGCGGATCGGATCCGCCGTCGTTTCGAAGATCAGCAGCGCGCTCTAACCTCGCGCGGGGGCCGGTCCCTGCCTCAGCCGGAGCCTGCTCACGCGGCGTCCGCCGAGCGCTACGGCGGAGTGGGTGTGGCGCACCAGGAGCATTCCCCTCGCCGACGTTCATCTGTGATTCGCGGCGATAGGCGGGAGAGCCGCAGGGAAGGTCTTCACGCTGGCCCGCGGTCGCCGCGTTCGCCTCGTCGCGTGGCGTCACGGAGTCGTTCGCGTGATCGCAGGTCACACCGCCACCGTTCGCCCGCTCGCCCTCATTCTCGTCACCGTTCGCCCGTACGCCAGTCGTCCCGTCCTCGATCGCCTCCGCGTTCGCCACGTCCCTCGAAGCGTCCACGGCTCGACTCTCCTCGTCGCGTGGTCCGTTCCCCTGAACGCCATCGTCAGCTGGGCTCGTCTCGCCAGCAGTCGCCTGTGCGTTCGGACGCAAGTGGTCGGGGGCGTCGCGGGCGGCGGGGAGGTTATGGTCGCGGGGGAAAAGCGCGTCCAGCGCCGTCCGCAATGGAGCGCCGTCTTCTGGATAGGCTTGATGACGTGGAGAAGGAGCTTCGTCGCTCACGTGCGGGGTCGGCGTCACCCCCAGCTCCTCGCGCTGCTCCCGTCGTCCCTCTCTCCGCGCTCCTGCCTCACAATCCATTCGGATCCCCGGCGCGCTCAGATCGGCCGCTGCCTGCGGGAATGGGCTTCGTAGGCGCTGGTGGCGGGCTGCCATGGGCTCAGTATGAACCGCCGCGTCCTCTTCCTGCTCCGCGTGATCTCGCCGTGTCGTCTCACCGTGCCCGCTCGTCCGCGTTGCTTCCGCCGATGAAGAGAATTCCCACGGCGACCCTGGCCCGCCTATGGTCGCTGGCGGCGTCCCTGCAGAGCCTTGAGCGGATTCTCCAGGAGTCATATGACTCCATGCCGGTGAGCCCTCCGAGCAGGTTCTCTCAGAAACCGCGAGCTGATTGTCATGCGGCGGCGTCAGCGCTATTCGCGCTCGTAACGCCACTGCAGGTAGAGCCCTCGCCGGGAGCAGCCTCGGCCAGCCAGCTGGCTGACTCGGCCCTGGCTCTGAGGACGCTTGTAGCAGGTCCTGGTACTCCCGTTGACGTTGTAGGCGCCACCGTGTTAGTGGTCCGCCAGATGTGGTTGAACACGAGCGGAATGCTCGCTGCGGTAGACGCGGACCGCATGTAGGTGCTCCCCCCTTGCGCGTGTAGACCCGTTCCATTATCGTGTTGCTAGGTGTCGATGCTTGCCTTGCTTGTGTCTGATGCCTAAACTACTGCTTGTTGTTCCCCCTTGTCATCCCGAGCGCGCGGCCGAAGGCCGCGCACGCGAGCGCCGGCGCGAAGCGCGAAAAATTTTCAGAATGAACTGAATACTAAGGATGAAGAAGCCACGAGAGCCTTTAAGTACTCATGGGAGAGGGCAGAAGGGTGAGTGCAAAGGCAGAAGGGGAGAGGCTAATCCTCTCTCTCTCTCTCTCTCTCTCTCGCTCTCTCGAACGATCGAGCGAAAATTTTTCAGAATGAACTGAATACTAAGGATGAAGAAGCCACGAGAGCCTTTAAGTACTCATGGGAGAGGGCAGAAGGGTGAGTGCAAAGGCAGAAGGGGAGAGGCTAATCCTCTCTCTCAAACGGTCCTTTGTATTAATTCAGCAGGGGTACAAACATGCGGTGCTATCCATGATAACCTCTATCCCTTAAGCCCCAAAAGTTACCACTCTTCACCCCCCTCCCTGAGTGACCCTCTAGCCCTCCAGCGTGTGGAGGATGTCCCCCAGGTGCAGCGGCCAGGGGTCCGCTGCCATCTGGGGGTGCGCTGCCTCGATCCCAGCCCTGGCCTTGGTGTGCAGGGCATTAGCCTGGGAGCGCTGGAGGGCCACTGACCAGCGCTGGCTGAAGTGGCAGGCCATCTTCTTGGCCGATTTCGCCAGGGGGTTGGCCCTGAACCGGTTCCTAGCTGCTGCTGTGGCCAGCAGCTTCAGGAACGCAGTCGTGGTGGGCGCGTTTGCCCCGTAGGTCTCGACGGCTAGGGCGCAGAACACCACGTGTTCCGTGTGTCGGTAGTACTCCCTCTCCTTCCGCCTCTGTGCCTCTCTAGCAGCCCAGCCTGGGGGTTTGCGGGCTGTGGGGTCCCGGTTCTGCAGCACGGGGTCTGTGATAGTGGTGTCTGTGATCCAAGTCTCTCCACTGTCCGGGTCGCGTACAATCACATCGGCTTTCTTCGGGTCATCCGGCGGTGAGTACATGGCGTTCTCCAGGTATACCACCAGCTGTGCTTCCCTTGCCATTTTAGCCACGGCAAAAGCTAGCTGGTTGTGTGTGCGTGTCCTGTCGGGGCCTGTGCTGCAGCGGAGTAGGTGGTTGGGTAGGCTGCAGTCGGCTACGAGTTCTCCACACTCGCACACAGTGGGTACATTCTGTCGGATGCCCATGCGGAAGGCCAGGGCTGCTCGGAATTGTCCCGGTGAGAAGCAAAGGTCCGGGGTCAAAGGTAGGGCCTGCAGCCATGCTCCCGCTCCCTCCCCTCTCAGGCTGATGAGGCGGAGTGAGTGACCCATCTCGGGGGCTGACTGGATGGTGCGTGACTCCTCTGTCAAGGCGTCGGCCTTTGCCGCGTGCACCTCCTGAGAGAGGGCGCGTTGCAGCTGGTCTTGGGACGGGGTTTGCTGCTCCTCCCTGAGGTTTTGTAGCGCCAGCGGTGGCAGGCGCCCCTCCATGTCCTGGATGGTTACTGAGTGCGCTGCGGACGGCTGCAGGGTGTTGTTGTTGGCCCCCAGTGCCGCGGTTGCTGGTAGGTCAAGGGAGCGGAGCAGTCGTAGCGCCTCCGTCGTTGATGCCAGGTAGGCCGGTGCTGCTTCTGTTGTGGGGTCTGTAAGTCCCAGCCCGCCCAGGGCGACTGGAAGAGTTGCTTGTCGGAGCAGGAAGTTGAACTCGGCTTCTCGGCGTGGCGGTTGAATGCTGGCGGCGGTCAAGGCCGTGTGCAGTAGTTCGGAGCACCATGTGTGCCATTCCGAGAGGGGTAAGACGTCTGCTGGGGTAGTGCGTAGCAGGTAGCCGATTCTGCGGCTGATGCAACGGGACAGTAGCAGGAGGGCATGTTGTGGGTGGATGGACGCCAGGGAACCCAAGGGGGCTGCCGCGTCTGTCAGTGTACTGCGGACAAAGGCAGAGCAGAAGCTCTGCGACGCCACAGGACTTCCCAACACCCGTATCCCCTCGTGGGTGTGGGGGAGGCCTTCAGGGAGCACGACACCTCCAAGCGGCATGGAGGACCACGCCGACGACTTCATAAAGTTGCAGGTGAGGCCATCCTGTGCTAGTAGCGGCGTGAGCTCCCTTAGCGCGTCTAGCGTCGCCGTCGCGGGTCCAATCATGGTTATGTCGTCTGCGTACGCGAGGACGGTGACTTCCGGGTGCTCCGCTGCCACGTGCCTGAGGTGCTGCTGGATAGACGCCGAGAGTAGCAGGGGTGCGAGGGGATCCCCCTGTGTGACTCCTCTTCCGCTGGTGAGTGCCGTGGAATTGAAGCGTGGAATTGAAGCATGGAATTGAAGCATGGAATTGAAGCATGGAATTGAAGCATGGAATTGAAGCATGGAATTGAAGCATGGAATTGAAGCGTGGAATTGAAGCATGGAATTGAAGCATGGAATTGAAGCATGGAATTGAAGCATGGAATTGAAGCATGGAATTGAAGCATGGAATTGAAGCATGGAATTGAAGCATGGAATTGAAGCATGGAATTGAAGCATGGAATTGAAGCATGGAATTGAAGCGTGGAATTGAAGCATGGAATTGAAGCATGGAATTGAAGCATGGAATTGAAGCATGGAATTGAAGCATGGAATTGAAGCATGGAATTGAAGCATGGAATTGAAGCATGGAATTGAAGCATGGAATTGAAGCATGGAATTGAAGCATGGAATTGAAGCATGGAATTGAAGCATGGAATTGAAGCATGGAATTGAAGCATGGAATTGAAGCATGGAATTGAAGCATGGAATTGAAGCATGGAATTGAAGCATGGAATTGAAGCATGGAATTGAAGCATGGAATTGAAGCATGGAATTGAAGCATGGAATTGAAGCATGGAATTGAAGCATGGAATTGAAGCATGGAATTGAAGCATGGAATTGAAGCATGGAATTGAAGCATGGAATTGAAGCATGGAATTGAAGCATGGAATTGAAGCATGGAATTGAAGCATGGAATTGAAGCATGGAATTGAAGCATGGAATTGAAGCATGGAATTGAAGCATGGAATTGAAGCATGGAATTGAAGCATGGAATTGAAGCATGGAATTGAAGCATGGAATTGAAGCATGGAATTGAAGCATGGAATAAGCGTGGAATTGAAGCATGGAATTGAAGCATGGAATTGAAGCATGGAATTGAAGCATGGAATTGAAGCATGGAATTGAAGCATGGAATTGAAGCATGGAATTGAAGCATGGAATTGAAGCATGGAATTGAAGCATGGAATTGAAGCATGGAATTGAAGCATGGAATTGAAGCATGGAATTGAAGCATGGAATTGAAGCATGGAATTGAAGCATGGAATTGAAGCATGGAATTGAAGCATGGAATTGAAGCATGGAATTGAAGCATGGAATTGAAGCATGGAATTGAAGCATGGAATTGAAGCATGGAATTGAAGCATGGAATTGAAGCATGGAATTGAAGCATGGAATTGAAGCATGGAATTGAAGCATGGAATTGAAGCATGGAATTGAAGCATGGAATTGAAGCATGGAATTGAAGCATGGAATTGAAGCATGGAATTGAAGCATGGAATTGAAGCATGGAATTGAAGCATGGAATTGAAGCATGGAATTGAAGCATGGAATTGAAGCATGGAATTGAAGCATGGAATTGAAGCATGGAATTGAAGCATGGAATTGAAGCATGGAATTGAAGCATGGAATTGAAGCATGGAATTGAAGCATGGAATTGAAGCATGGAATTGAAGCATGGAATTGAAGCATGGAATTGAAGCATGGAATTGAAGCATGGAATTGAAGCATGGAATTGAAGCATGGAATTGAAGCATGGAATTGAAGCATGGAATTGAAGCATGGAATTGAAGCATGGAATTGAAGCATGGAATTGAAGCATGGAATTGAAGCATGGAATTGAAGCGTGGAATTGAAGCATGGAATTGAAGCATGGAATTGAAGCATGGAATTGAAGCATGGGTCCAGCAGCAGCGCTCATGCTCATGCGTAGAAAGAGCGTGTGAAGGGGATGAGGGGGGCTAGCGGGGAGCCGATAAGTGCGTTGAAGAACGCGCTCCTCTCGACTGAGTTGAACGCGTTCTCAATGTCGAGTTGGAGGACTAGGCTGGAGGGCTGCACGGTGGTGAGGTCTCTGACTGCATGGATGACGAACTCAGCACCTCCCGGGACTGCCACGCCAAATTGCTGAGGTAGGAAAAATTTTCGCGTTTCTCCTTGCAGGTCTGAGAGTGCCACTTTCGCCGCCAGCCTAAGCAATGTTTCTCCAATCGCGATTGGGCGTACCCCCCCCCCCTGGTTTGGCGAAGGCTATAAGGCGGGACGGGGCGAGTAGGGCTGCAACCTCGGTGGAAAGGTTTGTCGAGAGAAGGTGTTTAACGGCGGAGTGGAGGTGCCCTAGTACCTCGATGTTACTTAGCGCTGGATCGCGGTAGTGTTCGAAGGTTGACCCCGATGGGCCAGCCCCAATTCCCCTGGGGCATTCCCCGAGGACGTCCGAAAAGCTTTCCAGGGTGGTTGAAAATTGTGTGGGTGTCGTGTAGGAGTGGACCCAGTCGGGCAGGTCATTTTGGGGTTGGGGGTGTTTCGATTCCAGCTGCTGCAGTGTCGCGAATGTCGCCGGTGCTGATGGCGAGGGTTGAAGGGCCGCTAACGCCTTTCGCAGG